AAGATCTGGGAGAGATGGTTAACATGCAAATATATAAATTAGGAAGGATATCACAGTCCTGACCATTTGAGTGTTGGTTGCTGCAGGATTTGTGTAGGATGTGTTTCAGGTTTGAAATGAAGGACTTGTCGTAGCCAAGTCGGTGTGTATGTGCCTGAGAACTGGATGAGGGATGGCGGCATCCAGCCTGGGTCAGGGATGTAGTTTCTCCTCATTGATGCTGCCTCTTGGATAGGTACCTACAAACACACACACACACACAAACACAAAGAGGTTATTGTATGTTGGCATAATTTTTTTTACGACTATTATTATGTGGCGATTTTAACATCTGCTACAAAAAGTGTTATGTCACTAGTACTATACAATAGTCTATCACTGTTTAGCATGTGAGCCAACCTCTCCCAGTGTTTGTGGTTGAGTCCAGCAAAGTCTTCAAGCTTGGCAATTTCTTTGAGGTATTGAGCGAGTTTATACAGCTCCTTGTCTTTCTCCCTGTTGAGGTGAGCCTTCATGAAGGGTCGAATCTAATAAGCAAACACACAAAAGACGTTTCAGAATAATATGTATATGAACGCTGACAAGGACAAAGAGGAAGAGGAGAGGGTCAAACTGTTAATGATGATGTCGGCCACCCACCTTCAGTCCGTTCTGTGGGTTCATGAGGAAGTTTCGTCCAATGTCATCAAACATTATAGTGTTCTTCCGGTTGTAAAATTCTCCATACTTCCCCCATACCACTCCCAAGGGCTTCACCTAGAGACACGCATGACATTAAACAGACTAGATAAGTGCACGACCTCTCAAAAAGTGTGCTTTTCTTTCTGATGATAAAATATCACCAGGGTGTGTGTTGTGATTAATTGAATTGAAAAAAAGGAAAAAAGCGAACATTAATATGCGAAACCACAGCGGTGAAACGGGCAAATCATTTAATTTGTAGTCAGAAGTGTGTACCAACCTCTACAACCCCTCTCTTGGGAGTGTGTACTGTGATCATGGCAGCACTGTCCAACATGAACGTAATCTTGTAGTTGGGGTTGTCTGTCACTCCCAACTCCTACACACACACACACACACACACACACACACACACAC